GTACACGATACCTAACTAACTAGCCACATAGAGCCTACGTCGATAATACCAGACAGCTGAACGATCTTAACCGAGGCACACAACTAACATGCGGCTAGGGGTACACGATACCTAACTAATCCATCCGTCGTTAACGGAGAAAAGGCTCAAAATGGACGTCTTGAAATTTTGGAATATATTGGTCGTTTTGAAGTTTACATAGGTCCTTCTGTGAGGCGCATTTTCTTTTTCGTGAGGAGCGTTCATTTGGCCGTTGAAGTCCTGAAATGAGAGGAACATATAATTCAGGTTATCGAAATATCACCATAAGGAGGGCGGCCGATAAACAGGTAGAGATTCTTACCCCAAAATTCACTGCAGCGACTATGCTGTCGCAGACGCCTGTTCACATAATGCCATCCTCAGCGGTTATTTCGCATTCCTGGGTTCCAGCCGTCGATAGCTGTCGGGGGTGGTTTGGGAACAAGTGTAAGGAGTACACCTTTTCCCGGTAGGTTGTAATCTGACAGCCATCGTTGGTGGATTGGAAAGAAAGCTAAGATGAATAGTTCTTACTGCTCGGAACGGACTGATCTCGAAATACAGAGAACAGGTGTACACAGGGAGCCAGATCGCCTGGAAGAAAGGGCACGTGCATTCTCCAGCAAATGTGCCGACAGTCTGGGAGCATCTGGGTGTTTGCACCACAAACTATAAGTTAGTTTACGCAGCTCGACCTCGCCTTGTTTGTTTCGACACTTTCATACGGCAGCCGCGGCGGTCGCGGACCCAAGTGTCTCAAAACGAGAGAGCATGCATATGTCGTCATTCGACAGACAACGTTTAGAACGTAGGCGTCACCCTCCAGGATTTGCCGCCTGTCGCAGCGGTACGACGTGTGCATCTCAAACTCCCGCATGTGCCACTTGGCGTGCCGGAGCACCTTTTAAATGACATGCTCCAACGTGTCGGAGTGGTGCACCCGATCTTTAAGGCGCCCGTTCGCATTCTCCAGTCGGTTGTTGATCACATTACCGAAATGAACCATTCCGCACTGTGCGTGTACGGCCCATTTTCGGGTGATGTACAACCAACGAGCCGTGAGATAGGAGAGGAATCGGGGATCGGTTCGGCGCAGAAGCTGTAGATCTTGTCGGAATCTGTGTGCTTGTAATATGATGAACATAAAACCTACTGTACAGCACTGTCCAGGCGAGCCATGCGGTGAAGTACGTGCCGGCTGTTCGCGGAATGTGTCTATGACCAAAAATACATGGATATTAAATGATACATACGTGCTTTCCGATGGCTTTGCGGACATGAAAGTAGCAAAGCATAATGTCACAGCCGAACACGACTCTTGCCGCACGCAGTTGCGCCGCCAAATTGCCCATTACAAAGGTCCTGACCGGATACGCTTCGCCCATCATTTCCTCGAATAAGCCGAACAGTTTACGCATGGGAGTAAACTGCTCGCTCTCTATGAACGCATACATAACCGGACGCCCGGTTCCCATGCCGTCCGCTATCAAGAATGTGTATAGTTTATATCTAAATATTAGATGCTTTAAAAAACTTACCCAAGGCGGTTTGTTTCATGTGTCCCGTTTAAATTAACTACATCAGAAAATCATCGGAATAACGCTATCTACTGCCATCGGGAGAAGTATATGTGGCTATAGTGACCTTCCTCTCCCTGACACACAAGGACGCGTCGGGTCTTCCGAAGTTTTGCCAGAACCGAAGGCACATCGTCTGCTATATTAGAACCCAACCATTCGGCACCTACTCAACATAGCCGGTCGACACTTCCGGCGGTAGTTGTGTATATCCTTAGTTGTAAGAATCTTTCCGTATTCATCCGCCACAAACTGCCGCACATCGGATGACGGCGTTCCATATCTCAGCAGGGCCTGGCATGTGCCCAACTCGTCTTCGGTTAGGCGTCGATTGACTGGAAGCCGATCGTACAGAATCTTTGACAGTTTGTGGTTGTGTTCCACAAAATTAGAGGTCACTGTCAGTTGGTTCCTTTGCCTCCGTAGACAAAACCGCACTGGGCAGCTGGTGCTTCGCGTACTTTTTTATTAGAAATTACGCGCGGCTTACTAGCTTCTTCGGATTCCACGGCTTTCCGTTTTTCTTGGAGGCGCTTGCTGCATTTGTAGTACACTCATTCGTAACGCAAGATAGTGTTGGTGCTTCGATTCCTGGATGAACGCACAAATATCACAAAGTTATCCTTCATGCATTCATTTAATCTCTTCTCAAATGCCGTGAAGGATGAAAAGGAGACGCCCACAAATTTCTCAACGAAAGCCACTTCCGAAGTCATAGCAGGCGAAGTTCAAAGCCGAACGTGCGCCAATAATTTTCAAAAGAGATCGATTAAAACAAATCGCAAAAAATGACGGCAGATGAGGGTGGTTTTAAGTCCTCGCATATATGCACAGAAGTGCAACATTTTGACGTTAAAGTTTTTATTTCGCCCGCAGGGGTTTCACAGATAAATGCATTGTGCGTCTAGCCGCGGGCCTAAAACATCGTCAAGGTAGGCATACACAAGCGGTAAGCCACGTAAAACCTCGTTTATGAAGCGTTGAAACTTTTGGGCTGCATTTCAAAGACCAAAGGACATACGCGTGAGTTCGAAAAGGCCAAACGGTGTTATGATGGCTGTTTTATGAATGTCATCCGGGGCTACGGGTATGTGGTAGTATGCTCGTACGAGATCGAGTTTGGAAATGTTTGTGTGACTTAGGGTGCTCGCGAAATCGCGGATATGGGGCGGGGTACCTGTCTGGGATGATAACCTTGTTGAGAGAACGGTAATCTCCACAGGGAATCGCATCGCCTTTAGATTTCTTAGGTACCATAGTTAGGGGTGATGACCGATGACTCGATGAAGGGCGGATGATGCTGAGTTCGATGTTCGAACTTCCGGTAGGACCGGATGGATACCTGTGGATGAATTTGGGGCACTAATTCCGTTGACTGAGAGGGAGGTTAGCGTGTCTAACAGACGTTTGTGCCGCCGACAGATAGTAAGGGTTGGAAAATCCCTAAGTATGTCCGAAAAATGTGAATCCGGTAGGATAACCCGGATACCTGTGGATGAATTTGGGGCACTAATTCCGTTGACTGAGAGGGAGGTTAGCGTGTCTAACAGACGTTTGTGCCGCACGTCGACAGATAGATTGTGATGGGTCGGGAAATCTGCACCGATGATGGGTGTTTGGACGTCGGCCAAAAGAAAGATCCACTTGAACGCACGTTGCAATCCGAGGTCAAGTGTGAGAGAACGTTCGCCGTATGCAGCGATAAGGGTATGTAACGAGAAAGAAGCAGAATCGGGAAGTGGATTCTTATGTGGTAGCACACTAACTTCAGCTTCCGTATCTACGAGGAAACGTAGACCACTTGAACGGTCGGTGATGTGGAATGGGCGACTAGTGCGGGGAGGGCCACAGACAGTCATCGCCGTTACTGACTGACCGGGCTGTTTAAAGGGGTGTTGGAACGCGGCTTGAAGGATCAAGGTGGTCGACACTTGCGTGCTTTTGGGCCATAAGATCGGTGAAACCAGCACCAAGAGGGACGAGCACGAGATAACGATCTGGATCGTGAACGTGGTCGATGCCTGTTGATCTATAACCGTTGTAGGCGACCGGTCAAAGCATCAAACTTGGCTTGTTAGTGCGATATAGAAGCAAGGAGCGGGTTGGAATC